AGAGCGGGCTGCTCACCGCCTTGTTCGGATGAAGGCGAGATACATTAAGAGGAATGAAAGAGGAAAGGAGCAGAGTTATAAAAAGAAAAGGAGAAATCATAAATTAAAACAGAGAGACAAAAAGCTCTGCTGAAAATTTTTTTTTTTTCTGTGCAAAGCAATAGTGGGAAAAGCATTAAGCGTTACTCCGTTTCTTCATCTAATGACACAGAAAAAAGTCTTTTCTGCAAATAATTCAAGTAAACAATCTCCAGAAAGCATGAACAACAATACCAAATTTCTTGAAATTAGCCAGGCTCACAGAATCAGCAGGCTATTATTGCTGCTTGGAGGCTGCGCCTCCAAAACCGTGGACGAGGCAATTTGTGGGCGAAGGGGGGGAAAGGAGAAAAGGGCAGAAAAAACAGCCCCTTCTTTCTCCATTATGGTTTACCTGGAATTTAGTTCACTGTAAATTCCATTCTGAAGGGAAAAAACCCTATGACAAACTCACCTTGGCTAAATATCGTTTGCTGATTTATAACAAAGATCTGATCCACTTTAACTTGCTAAACACTTTGTCACCGTTTCATATGCACCACTTCCAAAGAAGGGAAAAATAAAGGAGAGATTTTTAGGTCAAATGATTAAGGAGAAAAGGGATTTAAACCAACAATTTTTTTAAAGTTCTAATTGTTTGCTTATTGACACCAATTTACATGGAGCCACTTAGTGAATAAAGGTTTTCACAGTACATGGCACTTCTTTATGTCAGTTTTTAGCCATCATGTCACAGCCTGGCTTGAAAAGAAGAAATGCTGAAAACTCGTAGGCCAGAAATGAACAGCCTATTAAGATCTGAAAAGCTGTCATCCCCACTGAAAAGACTTGCGTCAGCCACTGAGGATATATTTTAAACCGCCTGTCCGCAAGAAAACTTTAATAATGCAGCCTTGCTCTAATGTCTTGTGAGAGGAGAGGCAATTTTACTTCTTCTATTAACCCAACGTGATTACAATGGCTTATTTCATGGAATATTAAGTTCAAATTCTGCTCCCTGGGAGGACAATAAAAAAAAGAGTGTGCTTATGACATTGCCCGAAATAGCCACAAGGACCGCAACTCCTTGGTGCTTTTAATGCATCCAAGCAGTAATCCACCTTAATTTGCTAATGGTTAAGTAAATTAGCAACAAAATAATAAAATACAAAAAGGTATCAACACAGGAGTAAAACGCTTTCCTCTAAAAAATATTAAAATAACAAAATGATGTTTTCGTAAGGATTGCAGTGGCCTTTCAATCCTCTCCCTGCCCCCCCAGCCACCCCCCCGCCAATTCAGGGGAAAAATAAACTCCTTGTGTCGGACGGGCTTTCGCCATGAGGCAATCGCAAGCAAAGCGGTTTGTGCTGAGACCACAGCTGGGACGGCTTTGTGCAAATGGAACCGTTAATAACTGCCTGGGAGCGACAAACACTTTCCAAACTACCTGAACTATCCCTGCACGGACACCGGGCAAATGGTTTCCCCAAAGAAGTGGGCGCCCAGGCAGGGGGATGGTCGCTGCCGGCAGCCGGTGCCTCCGGACCGCGTGGGTGACATCCACCGGGAACCCTCTGAAAACCCAGGGCTGCGGGCGCGGGCGGCTGCTCTGCCAGGGGCTCCTCCAGCCGCCCCAGGCAGAACCAGGAGGGATGTTTGCTGGTGGGCAGAACCCTGCCCTCTTCTCTAACACACACAGGTACAGGCCTGAACAAGCGCTTAAAAATTAAAATCGGGTCACCGGCATTAGTAATTTCGGTCTTGACAGAGTATAAAATTTAAAGGCCGGTGAAGCAGGCTGCCCGGCCACCTGCTCTGTCCCAGGCAGCGACACGGTAACCACGTCTCGCTCCATTCCCCCACGCTTGGCAGCCAAATTCCCCATCCTGCCGGGAAAGGAGGGAAACGTGCTCGGCTGCGAGCGGCCGCTGGGCACCTCCAATCCCGGCAGGAAGCGCAGGCAGGAGAAAACCCTCACCGACACGACGTTTTGTTTTCAAACTGATGTCGGATGCAGAGGAGAACTCCGTTACCCATTCCTTCCTTCTTGCACTGCCTTCCTACAACTTCTCTCTTTTTTTTTCCCCCAATATGGAAAAGGAAATAATTTTTTCATTTAAAAAAAATATAGTATGCAAATGGCCAGTGAAATTATAAATAGCCACCATTAATTTCTTCTACCTAGTTCAACAATTCCAAAACAAAGAGGGGAACTTAAATAAATACATTTAAAATCGCCTGCTGTGTAATAGTAAAGAGACTCCATAAAACTAGAATAATATTTATTTCTTCTTTTCGTAACAGCTCCCTGTTTTATTAGGCCCGTGTTCCACAGCAATCTGATAAGAAGGAGCGAGGCTAAATGGCAAATGGCAAACATCCCAAATCGCAACCTGATGTATTTCCACAGCCCTGACCTTCAGATAAAAATCGTGCAGAAATCTGCAAACCCACCAAATATGCAGCACCACATGCTTCCAGCGTTTTCAGACACAACAGTCGGGGGCAAAAAAAAAAAAAAGACAGAAAAAAAGAAAGGAAAGAAGGGCGTGCTATTTCAAGCCTTTAGCCTTCCCCTCCCTTAGAATTTAAGGATTATGCCCCTGTACGGCACGTACGAGGGTGCAGACAGACAGACACCTTCAAACCGAATGGTTTCTCACATCCACAGAGGGTATGCGGGCTTATAACTGCCTATCTGTGGATATCAGGGAAACATATTATATATAAAGAATATATCCCACTGCTATATTATACGTATATTTCAGAAAATACTTCAAACAGCAAAAAATTTTGCACTGTGAAATTAGCTAAAATTATGACAACTGCAAGAAAAAAATTATACGGGCAAAATTTGGGTCTGGTGGAAGAACTCTTTGATGTCTGGATTCCAATTTAACCCCGACTGAGTTCTAAGAATCAAATGAACAAAGTATATCATACACCCCAAGTCTGCTTGTCAGTGCTAGTCATCATTTTTATTTTATTCTTTCCAGCCACATGTATTTACAAGACCCTGTTCTGACATTTCCTCCCTCCTCACTGGAGACGGCTAGTTGCCAAACACATTTACGACACAGTCCAACTCTGTATTTATTTATTCATTAAAACACATGCATTAGTATCAATAAATATGTATAACAATATTTCCTTCACATTGCCGTATAGATTCCTTCCGCAGTCGTGTCTCTAGGTTGGGTGCTGTGTGGTAAACACACAGAAATATGAGCACATCTCATATTTGAAAAATATTTTTAGTCAAAAGACTGTGTCACAAACACTGCGTCTGTACCTATATAAATATACACCGTGGCTGGGGACAGCAGTGCGTTTACTGAATAAGACTATAGGTGAATAATAAAACCCTGCTTAAATACAGCCTAATATTTTCAGTATCAGTGCACCAAGGTGACTGTCGATGGCATGCATTAGGGAACATCACCTTTATTTTATACAGGGGCGTCAGCATGAAGTCTCTATGAACCGTACATATCACAGGCTGAATAAATAGCATAATCCCTATCATTTGTGTGTTTTGCATATAAAAAAACACTTTTTCTTCAGGTACTGAGCCACCGCATCCTATAAACCTGAACCGAGCTTCAGGATTTTTGAAGCGCTTGTAAAACATTAATAATATATCTAGGTTGTTTAAAGAATATTTCCAAATAACATGAAATATTTAGTCCGTCCCCCCCATCTCCACCCTCAACACTACCACCACCATAAAAAGATAAGATTTATCATGAAATGTTTGAGGGATAATCAGCCATTTTTGGCCAATATATTTTAATATTTATATACCTGACATAGCTGAATATAAATGATACATCATGATTTTCCATAGTGCATGGAATTTATACAATTAACTGAGTGATCCAATGGCTTTAGGGCACACAAGGTGCAAACAATGTTACAGTGGTTGGCTGATTATTGTTATAAATCTTACAAACCATAAAGACATTAAGGTGCATTTTGTTTACAGCATTTATTTTCAAATATTATATACAACAATATTATTTATCATTAAAAGAGTTACACTTTCCTAGTGTATTTACTTCATGAGCTATATTTATAGAACTATTTAAAAAATACAGCTTCAAAATATATGTCTGAAACAGGCAGTAAAATTTGGTCATTTCCAAGTTATTTCTAAAGATTACGTTTTTTCATTCTAAAATCGAGAAAACATTTAAACATTACCTGTATCTGAAATTTCTACTTTAGAAACCCACTTAGGCTAAGAAATCCATTTTAGTCAGCTGCACCCCGCACCCCCATAACCGCGCACGTGTGCTTCCACTGCACAGCGCATCCATCCCCCCGGCTCCCCTCGGCAGCGCAGGAGGTGCAGCCTGCTCCCCCGCAGCAAGCTCCTTCCATACCGCTTCTCAGCTCTACTTTAAAAACCCAAACCACGCACTTTGAAAAGCTTAATCTACAATTTCAGAGAGAAAAACATTTACAAATACGCAGCCCTGGATTTTACAATATGAATATGTATTTTTCCTGGAAAGAGCTACGTCCCCTGCCTCCCTATTTCTATGACATATAGATGCAGGAGTACTGAGCATGTATACTTACAAATAAAAATTCCCCCAAATGTTCCCAAATGGTTAGAATCTCCTAGTATTGTTTCAATTATTTTCATTTGGGTTTGCATGGGATTTGAAACGCCGTAGCCCCAGTATGTGAAATTTGAACCACAAACGGTCCTGAGCGAGCCCTGGCAGTGGTGGGGTTGTCCACCCGTTAGCGAAAGGGACCCGAGCGCTGCAGCTGCTTATCAAATCAGTTTTATGTTTCTGAAATGAGTTCCTGCTGCTGAGCCTGAATTCATAGACAGGCAGGGGGAAAAAAAAAAAAATAGATTGATCTAGCCCAAAACAAAACCTCAGAAAACCCATCTAGGGTACTGTCTCTTTGTGCACGTATAGAGACAGATGGGTATATTTGTTTTATACCTATGGAAACACGACATGCCGATTACACGTACGTGTGTGTACTGCATAGAAAAGCCCTGCAAAAAACCCACGTTACAAAGCCATATACGTTCTTGCTGCAGTTTTGCTTGTTTTACCAGAAGTAAACGAGTACTTTCCCTTTTTGCTGCCCTTTTTGCAGCACTGGCAATCAGCTTAATTTCTGATATTTTTCCATTCAGGAGGCACACGCATCGCTTGCCGAGCACAATCCCATTTTTTCTTAAATTTACATTTTTTTCTTCAGCTAAACCGATCGGAGAAATAAAATAAAGCAAGCACAATTTTGCTGCCTACTGTCCGTTTCCACATGAATATAACACCAGCCCAGTGAGTTACCCAGAATTTGCTTTTTTCTTCAGTACTTACTGGCCTGCTTAATGGTTTCTTTCTAATGTACTTAAAATATAGAAGCAGGGAACAGAAACGTGGAAACGTACAGAAATGTCTGTTGACTTCAGGCATCGGAAGCGTTTTGTTGCAAATTCGAAGGTGCTAAAATCTCATCAATGAGTGGGAAACAGTGCTAAATACAAGCTCTGCTAACTTTATTTTTAATGATGACTTTAAAAAACAGGGATCAGCGAGGTGAATGTAAAAACTGTTAATCTTAAATTTCTACAAACCCAAGTGTCAGGGCAAACATGTATGGTGCATCAAGCATAACAAGATGAAAACGAGGAGGTGTTGGCGAGGAGGGGGTCCGAGACACTTGCTTTTCTTGAATCCCTCTGAATACATTTCACAATTCATCAGTTTTTGTCTTTCCTGCCACGAGTGAGGACAATCAGACCAGACACCCATTAGATTTTTCATGCAATTTTTTTTTTTCTTGTTCATGACATGTTGGCAGGGAGGATGGCAATTCTGAAATCTTACCAAATGAGAAAAATGTCAGAAACTGAACTGACAGCTAGTGGTTACTATGGTGATAGGTGATATTGAAAAAAAAAAAATAAAATACGACTCAGTTAATTCAAAAGGAATCAAGTTCAGTATTTTTAAGCCAGTTGATATAGATGAAAACTTAATCCCGATACTGGGATGTTATCTTGTTTTAGCTACGAGCCAAAGAAACCATTTGCTTGATTAGATAATTAACCAGATACAACCAAATATACACTGAAAATTATAGTTCAAACAAAAGTAAAAAAAATATTAATGAGATGTTCATAAAAAAGAAACAGTCATGTTAGGAAAAAAAGCAGATTAGGAATAATATGCTGCCTGTACGAGTAACCCAGAATTTTCCTCTCCGTAATCACAGTTACCTACGCGGGTCCAGCTCTCTCCCATCAGTTTGGAGAGCGAAAGCGTAGTTTCATTCAGTGACAAAGACAAATCAGCTGGAAGGTAAGGAAAGCTGCTGACTGATGGCTTCAATAGACAGACGGCTGCGCAGGCAAGTTCGGCAGGAACCTGAATATCTCCATATTTGTGTTTATGTATTTTATGGGCTTTTTAAAAATTCCCAAGGGAGCTATTTCTGGGGCCAAAATAACGCGAGATCTGGTGTTCTCATGGTACTTCCATCGAGGAATTGAAATACTAAAATACCATGAGAACATCAGATCTCGTGTTATTTCGGCTGCATTAATGGTTCCCTTAGGTATTAACAAAGCCCACGAAAAACAAACACAAATATTTGAGGCAGAAATATAAATGCTAGAATATCCGTCGCTCCCCAACAGAAACCCCGTACAGCACACACACAAAAAAAAATCTGCCTTTCTCTTTTTTGAGCTCACCCCTTGAAAGCAAAAATTGTGTAACTACACACATTAAAAATTAATATTCTATTAAAATAATTTGGCTATCACTGCTATGTTTCTGGTAGAAATCTAGTTTGTTTCCTAACAGTCCTTGAGGAAGATTATCTCGATACAAATGCATGCGAGGTTCTAGGGATATTTTAACGAGAAAACACTTTTGAATGCAAAGGTCTCCCAAATAATTTGAATTTGGAGCGTGCTGCCTAGGTGGACATGTCCGGGGCGGTGAATGGAAGTGCACGTGAGACAAAAGGTGGCCCTGGCGTCTCGGGAGTCCGACGCCTTTCCCTATCCCTTTATTGAAGCTGGGTCGCCACACAGTCAGAGAGAGACATTGGAAACATTACAAGAAATGGGGTCCTTCCAGCACTGCGAGTTAGCAGGCAGGCGCGGGCTTCTTATTTATAACAACCAGTTGGTGTTTAATGGGCAGGAGGAGGAGGAGGAGGAGGGGATGGCGGCCCCGCGCCGCGCAGGCGACAGCGCCATCTGCCGGGGGAGGGGGGCCAGCAGCGCGCCGGGACACGGACGGGCAAGCGCCCGCGCCCGCCCTCGGCACCGCACGAAAAGAACACGAAAAAATAAAAAAACCACCCCAAACTTGTCCCTGACACATCCACGTGCCCCTCCCCCGCCCCCCATCATCTTCCTCCCCAGTTCCCAGGCGAAGGCTCCTCGCCCGCCGGGCCTGCAGAGCGGAGGGCCTGCGCCCACCCGAGCAGCCCCCCGGGGCACGGC